CTCCAAGTGACTGCGGGGTGCAAAGCACGGCTGGGCGTGATGAAGTGCGCAGAGAAACACGCACAGGGAGCTGAGTGCTGCAGATCGTGGCGGGGTCCTGCGGTGCCCCAGGAACTCTAGACCCTGCGACCCAGAGTGAGCAAAATGCAGAGCTGACCCCGGGATGAGTGAGGGAGCCCCTTTGCAGTGAGCCCAGTGACAATGGCGGGGAGGGAGGCAGAGGCAGAGGAATGGGGCTGATGTGGGGCTTCCCCTCGTGGCAGGGGGAGCGAGCCGGAGGCCCTGGCAGTGAAGGGGTCTCCTGTCACATAGGAGAAGCAGCCACAAAGTCCCTGCTGCCACCTGTGGTCCAGCAGGTCCTGGGTCTCAGGCTCATCTCTGTCCTCTACATCCGGGGAGTCTTGCAAGCAAGAAGGGGCCCCAGGGCCCCAGGGCCTCTGCCGTGGACAAGCCACTGAACACGGGACGCCCGCAGGTCCTTGTGGAGCGCAGTGCTTGGCGCTGGCTCACGGCCAGCCCTGGGGAAGCTGAGGGCTTTGGGCTGGTCTGTAGGGGGCCATCTTGGCTTGGCCACTAGTGCGTGTACTGTGTGTCCTCGGACAAACGACTTGACCCTCTGCGAACCAGCGTAGTTGTGGGACCAGATGGCTTCTGAGGGCCCCGCTAGCTCCAGCATCTGCATCCTGAAATCCTCAGGAACAGCAATGGCCTTAGATTCCTGCTCTCCGTCCTGGCAGCACCTGGCAGTCACCAGAGGGCACACGAGACCCCGGTGCCCAGGTGCTGCACCCGGAGGTGCTGGTGGGCACAGCCGCAGGCTGGCCTGGGCACCAGGAATGTGTACAACGTCCCGGGCATTTCTAACTCACACCTGGGGCTGGAAGGAGCCAGAGGGGGATACACCTACTTTTACCCACACACAGGTGCAGGGACCTCACAGCCCCCCCTACAGGGGGCACCTCCCCCGGGCCTGGGGGAGGTCACTTTCCTCTCTCTCTCTCTCTCTCTCTCTCTCTCATTTCTTCGGTCCCCCTCCAGATCTCTCCCCCAGATCCTGCCCCAGCGAGCTCAGGCTGTGGACTCAGCCCTGTGAAAGTCCCTGGCCCAAGAGGTCGCCACACCTGGTTAGCCCCCAGCTCGTGGGAAGGTGGTGGGACTCTGGGGGAAGATGCCTGGCGCTCAAGGTCGCCCACATGCCTGCCTCCCACCAGGTGCCACACAGGACCAGGGAAGTGGCTGGGAGCCACGGGCATGAGGCTCTCACCAGGCCGGCCCCGCTGAACACGGGGACCCCGCGGCGTGGGCACACAGGACAGCCCCTTCGCTGCGCCTCTTTCCTCTCACCTCACTGCCTCTCGCGCTCCCCCCACATCTGTCTCCCCACCAGCTCTCTCCCGCCCGGGCCAGGGCACCTGCCCTGCCCTCCGTGCCCCGCCCTCCACCCCTGCCTTCCTCAGCCCTCACCTCCCAGCCGCCCTCGAGGGCAGGCTCAGGGACCCTTGTCCTGCACACTGGAAAGCAAGATCGGTGACAGCGGGGACTTCGCTTTGCTCCCTGCCCCCTCCCAGGGCCCAGAGCAGCGCTGGGCAGGAGCGGGGACTCCCGGCTGCCGCAGGGGCCCCAGGGCCACCCCACAGGCGCTCAGAGAATTCCCTCCAAGCAGCGGCCTCACTCCTGCCTCTCCCCGTCGTCCATTTAAGTGGGGAAAGAATCGAAAACCAGTGAGATGCACTTAGGAGGTGGCCTTGAGGGGTCAGCGGCCCTGCCCAGCGAGGGGGCTCCTCCCGGGGTCTCTGTGGTCATCAATTATTCACCGGCCCAACTGTGTCCCTGGCGCCACCAGGACAGGGAGGACAGGCGCCCTGCCCGGGGCTGTCCAGGAAGGGAGGCAGAGCCTGGGCCCAGACGCTCCCCTCTGAAGCCGCCACGTCCTCATTATGTGGCCACTTTCAACAGGGCTCCGGGGCCTCCGTTTCTGGGCGTGCGGAAATGGAAAGTTGTTCTTTGCAGACTGAGTTGCGGGCATCTTTGTGTCTGAGGTTTGGTTCAACGAAAACAAAGCAGCCGCTGGACATCCTTGCCCGGCAACTGGGGCCACAGACAGCAGGGACTGGCCTGGGCAGGGTGTCGGTGTCCTGCGAGCTCTCCCTCCTCTGGCTGAGGGAGACTCTGGGCCAGCTCCTTCTGGAACATTCCCTCCAGAGGCAGCTGCAGGTGGGCTCTCATCTCCCCTGGGGGCGGCGCTTGAGCTCCCAGGAAGGCCACTGATTAATGGCCGGGGCGGGGAGCGCAGTGCAGAGCCGCAGCCGGGCCAGTGGGGCCGCGACCCCTGCTTTCACGCACGCCCCAGGCCCCGCCACCCCCGCCCTGCACGGGGCACGGGGGCTCCGAGTCATTAGAGCCGTGGGCTTTGATCTCCAGTGCTCTCTTCTCTGGCAGCTGCCGTGGGCCTGGGATGAAAACGTTGGGCAAGAAAGGCAGGTGACTCGGGAAGCAGCGGGCGAGCCGGCTTCAGAGACCGCGACGCCCGCCTGCGGGAGGCGGGACCGAGGCCGCCTCACTGGGCTCTGAGCAGGGTGGGCGGGAGAGCGCCACTCCGGGACCCACGTCCCTGTGCTGGGGACTGCGAGGTCTCCGTGGTGTCAGAGCCCTGGCCGCTGTCCCGCGGGGACGTGGTCCTGGGAACAGCCCCAGGCCAGGCAGGGGGCCAGGCGGGCACGGGCACAGAGCGAGGGAGGACAGAAAAGCCAAGGCCCTTCGGAGTTGGACAAAGCAGGGGACAAACGGCCCCGGGCCGACTGCCCACAGCCCAGCGAGTGGCCGCGGCTCCCAGAGGGGAGGCAGCATCCTGCCCTCCAGAACCAGGACCCCGCTCCACGGGGAAGGAGGCGCAGGGCAGGCGGTGTGCACCCAGGTGCCCGCTGGAGTGCAGTCCAGGGTCCAGCCCAGCCCCTGTCCTTTCTGCTGCTGACTGGACCGGGGCATACACCGCCCGCCGTCTGCCCCACGTGCCCGCTCCCTGATCCCCAGGACCTGAGGTCACAGCCTGGGGCAGCAGCACCTGGGGCAGAGGCTGAAGAGCGCGGCAGGAACAGAGGAGCTGGGCCTGGGTGACAGCACGCAGCCCCTACCCCTGCCTGCGCCACCCCACCTTGCACGTAGGTACCCAGAGCAGGCAAACCTTCCTGGGCATGGGGGTGACCTGTGCAGGGAGTGGGGGAGGGG